CAAAACACTTGAGTAGAACAGACGGATCAGCTGGTCGAGGGTGAAAGGCAAAAACTCATTGCTATTTCGAATTTGGGGATACCCAGAGGGTAATGATGTTGGATTCACAGTTTACAATTCACTGCCCATTGAAATAAGGACATTTACTAGAACCTGCCATTTACCACATGGCCACTGAAAGTGAAGCGACTACTGGTTCTTGTCATCATTTCTACTGTTTTTTCTACTGGAGCATCAGTATCATGTTCATCTGATCTTTCATTATCACAAACCTTGAGCTTTCCTAGATGCCGTACGGCAAGATATGAGGATTATGCACCAGAGTTGTAAATCGGTAGAACATTATAAACGAGCACATAAAAGGACCCATGGCCGCAGGCGTAGCCTATCGTCCGGAGCAAGGCAGGTGGGATCGATGCAAGTAAAGTTTAGGTTGGTGCAAAGATCTGATCCTGGTGCAATATATTAATTTTTCTTAAAATTTCTTGCTGTTCTCACTATAATGCTGATTTCGTATTTTACATTGTTTTGTTTGCACCATTATTTCAAGGCCGATTTGGATGAAAATTGATTGGATTATCCCGCTTGGCAAGGCATAAGCGTTTTGAACGAGGAACACTAGTGTGTACATTCTCCTTATTGGCGTCAGATTCACTGCAAGACATCGTCTGATCTGCGGGATTGGTGGAACCAAAGCTCATGCTATCCCTGAGAGCTTATCAACAAAATGACCTCTGAATTGTTTGATGGAAGGCAATAAGTTTCAGCTTCACAACCGTACTCTAGAAAAGTGAAGAAGCAGATTCTGTGAGAACTATCTCATAATCGGAGTAACACCAAAAGAAAGAGAGCTCGAAACGCCATTCGCCACTCCTTGTATGATGGCCGCAAAATGCTTTTTTACTAAGGCCGTCCTCGCTCACTTTCCAGAGTTGCTGATATCAAACCGAGGTGAAGCTACTCTAGAGGTAGTCCTACAAAATCGTGTAATAATTGAAGTGAATTGATCTGAAGTGGCTATCAACTTTGATTTTGAGAAGTGGAACACGAAGAATTCAAAGTTGTACTAAAGCCGCCGTTCACCTTTTCCAATCGAACTTCCAGATGCACAAATGTGTTTCATCGTATGCTTGAGATCAGTTGCAAACAGCATTTTTTGTGCTGTGTACTAAGATCACTGGATTTTCTCAGCGTCGTTATCTTCGGGCTTGACCGATCAGCTAGCTATGTTTTCTTTCCATCGCATTAGGAAGGCTCACCATTATATCTCCAAGCTATGTTTACGTTTTGCGGCAGTCCATCGACAGTTTCTTTTCCGGCCACAAAGCTCTACCGCTCGGATTCTCATTCCGCACAACTTCCAGTGTCATGCCGATGCACGAACAAGCCATTCTATACCAAGATAACGTCCAAATTAAGTGGAGATTACATACCTTGAAAAGTGAAGTAAACCAAAGCATCAATGGAGGTAACGAAAAGTATTATCCAGAGTCAATTCAAATCGCATTTAAATGCCACTGCAATCTTTAGTGGAAGCGAAGTAAAAATGGTAAACTGCAAGTAGATTCTTCAACGTCGACCTAAAAATAGGTCTGAACAACTATGTTCCTAGCCTACGACTTGGAGGTATTATGCCCAGAAATAGAAAGTACTAAATGCTCGCGCATTCTCGTTCCCTGGAAGCCTTCTTCAAATGTTTCCCTCGCTCAACGATCCTAAAATCTAAATTCAACCCTTCAGTAAACGCAAAAGTGTCGAACACATCGGAGCGCTATATCTTCAAGCTGCTTCGATGGACGCTGGATGCACGGACACATCGACATTCATCGCTCTGTTCTGGAGCTGTCGAGTGAAGATACACCCTCACCTATTAAACTAAGAGAGGCCGTACGACGTTATATCGCAGTCATTCCTGTTATGGTTAGAATAATAAAGAATGCTCGGCTACTCTTTATCGCAAGCAATCACGACTTTGTTGCCTATTTCTTACTGCATCCGATTGTATTAGCTTAGAATTGTTGCCATGGGTTTCTGAGGAATGTAGCTTTTCTAGACATAATGTACATTCTTTATTCGCAAGCAACGTGTAAGCTTTGTGCTGCAGCCTAGCTTTGGTTTTTCGAGATTGAATCTTCGGTTGTAGAGATTTTTGCTCCTAATAAATTATTGCACTGGACCACGTTCAGAACACTCTCCATCCACAAGCGAACGTCAGCCATGGCCGGAAAACTTCAGTCAGTTCGTCATACTCAAGAAGACGTTGGAGCAATCACAACATTCTAAATAATTACTTGCTTCAGCACAGATGACACACCCGTGCAACCTGCTTTACAGCCAGAAACCTGGAAGAAACCTCCGACAAAACATTAAAAATTGATATCATCACAATCACCAGCCGTCACTACCAAAAGCGCCAAATATTGAAATATCGACGACACGTGGGATGGTTACTCCGACAGGCGAAATGAAAGGCCTGCGCCAAAAAGGGTGGACGATAGGAACTGCGATGCTGACTCGTAAGTAAGAGAACTCCGAGAACAAAACCAAGGCAAGGACAGGGAGACAACCAGATCTTCCTCATCGACTACATAGGAGATCAGCCGATAGTCCGGCTTTGACCGGATGATCTTTACCTCGTGAAGGAGTTTGGGAAGACAGTAATGAGTTTCTGTCAAGGCAGTCTGATCACTTCAACGCCATGAGATTGCACACTAAGTGAGGTGGAAGTTCTATGTCCAAAAATCTTTTCATCTATGGAAAGCAGACCCTACCAAATTACACAAAGGTCATTGTGCAGAACGCGTGGGTTAAATGTATTTTATATTGAACAAAGTATGGCCCCTTTCTACAGTACGAGTACCATCAAACTTCACACTTTCTGACCCATAAGTATTCTGTGCAGGAGCACCACTCGTGTGAGAAGGTAAAAGAGCCGTACTTGCGACAGGTGAGGAAGCAGGACTA